CTTCTTACCCCCACCTTGTCTCCTGGTAAAGTAAGTGTTAAAGTTTCTTTTTCATAGAGGAGCCTAAGCTCAGTGAGATCAACAACCTGTCCAAACTCACAGATCTAATCAGAATCAAAACAAACTGGAATGCATTTCTGTCTTCTATCTTAGCAATTAGTGAGAATAGAATGCAGTTGCTTAGTATAGTATGGTTTTCATTTTGTGAGTTGGACTTATTTAGTCCGTTTTCTATTTGGTTCTTAATCTCAGTAAGCACTGTTGACACGACTCAGAGGAATAAAACCCAGCTCACTTCTTTCTTTAAGAGACTTTGGTTAACAATTCTTAATATTTAATCTTTCCCAGAAACTTTTTGGACTCCGGTAATACTTCATTGTTATATGAAACTTAGAGAATTCAAGAAAATAGAAATTCCTGTCTTAGTTTGTTTTCAATTGCTGTAATAAAACACCATGACCAAAAGCAGCTTGGGGAGGAAAGGGTTATTTGGCCTACACATGCCAATCATAGTCCATTGTGAACAAAGTCAGGCCAAAAACTGAAGGCAGGAACCTAGAGGCAGGAACCAAAGTATATGCTACAGCGGAATGAACGCTATTTACTGGCTTGCTTCCCATGGCTTGCTCAGATTGCTTTTAATACAACCCAGGATCACCTGCCTAGAGGTGGCAGCACCTCCAGTGAGCTGGACCCTCCCACACCAATCATGAATCAATAATATGCTTCACACATCAGAAAAGGGAGAAAACAAGGAATAGGAGCCTATCACAGAGGACTTTTAAAATACTCTACCCAGCAAAGTATCAAAACATATGCTGAGACTCAGCCAAACTTTGGGCAGAGTGCAGGGAATCTTATGAAAGAAGGGGGAGATAGAAAGACCTGGAGGGGACAGGGGCTCCTAAAGGAGACCAACAGAACCAAAATATCTGGGCCCAAGGGTCTTTTCTGAGACTGATACTCCAAGCAAGGACCATGCATGGAGATAACCTAGAACCCTTGCACAGATGTAGCCCAAGGCAGCTCAGTGTCCAAGTGGGTTCCCTAGTAAGGGGAACAGGGGCTGTCTCTGACATGAACTCAGTGGCTGGCTCTTTGATCACCTCCCCCTGAAGGGGGGCATCCTTACCAGGCCACAGAGGAAGACAATGCAGCCAGTTCTGATGAGACCTGATAGGCTAGGGTCAGATGGAAGGGGAGGAGGACTTCCCCTATCAGTGGACTGGGGAAAGGAGCATGGGAGGAGATGAGGGAGGGAGGGTAGGATCAGGAGGGGATGAGGGAGGGGATTACAGCTGGGATACAAAGTTAATAAACTGTAATTAATAAAAAATTAATTAATTTTAAAAAAAGAATATGCCTCACAGACTTGCCTACAGACCAGTCTGGCAGAAGCATTTCCCATTTGAGGTTCCCTCTTCCCAAATGACTGTAGCTGGTGTCAAGCTGAAAAACAAAAACAAAATACTAACCAGTGCACCACCATTCTACAGTCTTTCTGCAAGTGCTTACTGTTTCTCTGAAATGACTGATTTAAATGAAAGTATCTAATGCACTATGAATCTAAGGCCCAGCAGTTATCACTAGGCTTTCTCAAGCAGAGCATCAGAAAAGGCCACAGGAGGGACCCCATTTGAGGGTGGGGATTTTTCACTCACTTTATGCCCAGGAGCAGGGGGTGGACTGCCACGTCTCTTTCAAGGTTCTCAGGATTTCATATGGCCTAAATTATGAAAACAAAAATGCAGATTTCAAAGGAAACATACCAGCTGAAATTTTTATTTTTAAATATATTGACTTGCAAAGCAGTTTTATCCCCTGTGAGATGTTCTGAATCCTGGAAAGGTAGGAGGGTGATATGTTGGCAGGAAAGGTAAAGGTGTTTGCTGTCAAGGATGATGGCCTGAGTTCAACCCCCAGAACCCGCATGGAAGGAGAGAACTGACTCCTCCAAGTTATCCTCTGATTCCAACCCACATACACTCACTCACACACAGTAAATAAAATACAACAAATACATTCATAGGGACAGATTCTAAAGAAAAACATTATATTTTATTGTTTTCATCTTCCATTAATTAGTACTTCCAAATTACTGTGAGTTTCATAGATAAATATGTTGAATGACATCCCTTTAATCTCAGAACTCAGAAAGCAGAGGCAGGTGAATTTCTGTGAGTTCAAGGCCAGCCTGCTCTATATAGAGAGCTCCAGGAGAGCAAAAAGACCCTGTGTCAAAAATCAACCAAAGAAAGAGAGTGAGTTGCCTGGACCAGTGGTTCTTAACCCTTTGGGGTCAAACAATCCTTTCACAGGGATCACATATCATATATATTGCATATTGCATACATTAAAATTCATAACAGTAGCAAAATTGTAGTTATGAAGTAGCAATGGAAATAATTTTATAGTTTGGGTCACCACAACTTGAGGAGCTATATTAAAGGGTCACAGCATTAGGAAAGGTGAGAACCATTGGCCTACACATTTTTCCTGCTGCTAATTGTGTTGCTCTTGGTGCTGAAATGAATGTTTCCTTAATTGGTAGCTTCCTGAAAGCCACCTTGAGAGCTTTGTCAAAGTGAGTTATTCAACATTTCCACACACCCTCAAACACATTTGCATGTCTGTAGCTAAAAAGGAGAGCAGGCAGTTTTCAAATACCAATGAGAAAGAAAGAAAGAAAGAAAGAAAGAAAGAAAGAAAGAAAGAAAGAAAGAAAGAAAGAAAG